CACACACACACACATCTCCCTTGTTTAAAATGTCAAGGAATCCTGTGTGTGGACTTGACGGCGCGCAGTAATTGGGCCGCCAATTACGCGCAGACAGATGCACCTGAGGAAACTAAAAATTGGTTTTCTTTAAGGGTCACAAGAACTAATCTCAAACCACGCAGTTCGTAAAAGCCATCTTAAATAGGGATTTTGCCCTTGAGGGTGTTTGATGAGGATGAATGATTTGCAGCTTGGGGTAAAAAAAAAAAAAGACGCTTTTGGTGCGTAAAATGCGTAAAATGCGTAAAATGGCAAAAGAGCCTTTCTCTTTACCATTTCTACCCTCAACGACCAGAAAAAAACTTATTTAATTTAATAAAACAATCTGAGTTATAGGCCTAGCGTTCAAGAACCCGTTCTGAGCAGCGAGTGTCTACCTGTCTCCATGTGGTTCGGGAGGGTGGCCAGGACGCGCCGCCGCCCCCCTCTCCACTCACCTCACAGTCATACAGTTCGCTGAGCTTCTCCACGATCCACTCCTCCAGCTGGAGCCTCTTCCGGAGCTCCTTTCTGTCGTAGCGCACCGTCACCTTGCCCTGCTTCCTGTGGTTCGTGTCCTCCTCGGCGATGGGCTCGGACCCCCGGCAGCCCACTCCAGGGGGCGCGCCCTGGAAGAAGACGCGGGTGCTGTCGGAGGGCAGAGGAGAGGCGCTGGTCTCGGTGCTGGCGGCCGACATGGTGGCAGGGGATGAGAGGGTGTTTTTTTTTTTAAATTATATATTATTTGTTTCTTTACTAAATAAAAAGTGTGAATGAAGAGGGGGGCTCTGCGGAGCTGGACTGCAGACAGGAGAATGTGCGGAGCTTTTAAACAGCTGCTATTTAAAGCAGCAGAGAGGAGGAGGAGGAGGAGCGAGCGCTGCAAGAAATGAAGATGAGAGCAGCGGTTTTTCTCATAACAAAGGGGGCAAAACGCTAAAATCTACCAAGACTTTAATTGAAAAATTGCTCTGGTTCGTCAGCTTTTGTATTGAATTTAACATATTAGTTTGCTTTTTATTATAAATGTTAGTTTTTATTATTATTTTTTATAGCGCGTGAGCTGAATTCCCTCAATGGTGCTTCCATCTGCACCAACACTTGGTGTGTTGAAGTAGATTTGTTTTTACCTCTCTCCTGCCACCTTGTGCTTCAACACATCAACATTTATTTACAGCACTGTGCAAAAGTCTTAAACTGCCCTTCTTTATTTTAAGGTGGTTTGGAGCACAAGTTAAGGCTTTCTGAACGTCTTTCAACGTTTTGTTTATTTTTTTATATATATT